CAGTGCTGTTTTATTTTATTGTAAGTTAAAATATTTGGCTTGTCGTGAAAGATAACAAAATATTGTTTTCACTATTGCATGCATAATAGCAAGAGGAAAATATGAAAAGACACATATTATGATTATAATTAGTAGTAGTAGTATTAGTAGTAGTAGTTTTATATTAAAAGGATGACCCTCATCTCTAACACTGTGGTTAATTCTATAATTAAACTATTTTATTTTTAAGGAAAAAGGGAGTAATTTTAAAACCTTTTTTTAGAGGGCATCAACATTAAGTGGACTGATGGAAATATTTTGGTCCACTATCGTTATACTTCAAATAAACCTGTGTAAAAGGTTTTTGATTACTGTTTCTGTTTTTGCTGAAATACTGACCCAATTATGAAAAGTAAAAGTATTCATTGTGCAGTAAAATGTTATATTAGAGGAGGCAAATAATAGCACAATAAGGCAGGGGTGCTCAAACCTGCTGGCTGAACATGATGGAAACTTTATTATAATCCAGCTCCCCGCAAGGGAATATACTTAATATTTTGTTGAGTTTCTCTGATTGATTTTAGGTGATTCATTGTTGCAGTAAAATTGGTTCTTGTAACTGTTATATTAGAGGAGGCAAATAATAGCACAATAAGGCAGGGGTGCTCAAACCTGCTGGCTGAACATGATGGAAACTTTATTATAATCCAGCTCCCCGCAAGGGAATATACTTAATATTTTGTTGAGTTTCTCTGATTGATTTTAGTTTTGTTATAGCAATCAGAAGGTCATCAGATTTACCATTTATTTTACCACAGAAGGGTATCAGTCAGTGATGTATGTTTGTTCTTCTTCATGTGTAAGTCTGTCAGATAAAGGACAGGCCAAAAAAATGACCGTCATAGCACTGCAGATGTAGTTGTTGATTCATGGGATTACAAAAACCTGGACGGACTAAAAGTAACAGGCTTGCTGTTGAGTCATTATTTCAGACTAGAGATTTGCGGGTGGAGGTCAAATAACTTAATACAGTTTAACCTTTTTCTTCTTATTTTGCTCCCCATAACACCCAAAACATGCAACCTGCAACAACGACTTACAGATTACAGATCATTCATTATGTTCCTTTGGTGAAGTTTAAAACTAAAATATTGTTGTTTAAAAACTTGAAACCTAGTGTGGTCTCCCTCATTGTCTAGTATGAGTCGGGCTGGCAAAAGAGGGGACTGCACAGTTTGTTTGTGCTCAGTTTATTTGGACGGGCTTTTGTTTGTTCAGTCGTTGGTGAGTACCCAGATTGCCTCGTGACTTGGGTATGGTTCAATAGTTTGAGCATTCAAGCACATTTTCTATTGTTTTGGGGGTTTCGGTGATTTGTTTTTAGGAGAAATTACTCCAAGTAAGTTACTAGTTAAATTGTACCTGCAGTTTCAGTAATCCCGCATTTCAGAATAATTATATTCGATTTGAGTTATTATATTACAGATGGCCTTCATGAGCATCTCAATAACACTACAGTTGCGTTGATAAACTTTAGTTATTGGCTCGTAAATGCAGTCGTTGAAAAGGGTTGCAGGACATACTCCAACGCAGAAGTAACATTCTGGGTACATGGAAGATTCCCGTGGTTAACACCTGGAGAGGATCGAGTGCGGCCTTCGCGAGAATGAGGTCATTTTTAAGATCTGGAGCCATTGTCCTAGGATTTTCCATCAGAGCTTAAACACATTTGTTAAATGGACATTGCCTCGAATGGAAGCAAATTATGCCAGGCCAGTTAAAAGGCTCTGTTAGTTCGCCACAGGGTGAAGGTCTGGTCGAAGGTGCAGCAAACATGGCCGTGCCTTCATCTCCAGCATCCAGACTCCAGGAACCTATGGGCCAGGTCCTGTTTAGGAATTCTAGCTCTGCTTTTAACACATCATCCCAGGCTGCTACAGGAAAGTCTCCAGCTCACTGTGCTGACTTCACCTCAGGTGGATCACATTATTGCTGTCTGGAAGCGGCACGTAAAGCTGGGGATACATATCTCTGACTCTTGGACCATCAGCACCGGATCTCCCCGAGGCTGCGTTCTCTCTCCTCTGCTCTTCTCCCTGTACACAAACAACTTCACCTCCAGTCATTAGTCCATCAGGCTCCTGAAGTTCTGAACACCTCCCTCATTGGGCTCATCTCTGGTGGAGATCTGGTAAAATGTGAGCTTCTGCTTATTCGTGATGACCCCTGACTAAGTGGAATATTTTACAGATACTTCACGTTGTATTCAACACATACAGAACGGCTGATAAACTGTACAATGAACCTAAATAGAGAATCTAATACCTGCAGGAAGTTTGTGTAAAACCAGCGATTTGGATGAATTTTGAGCAGATTAGTTCCTGTGAATATTACATTAGACATATTTGTTTCTCATATTTTTTTTATTTTTTTTTTTATATAAACCTCTGTATGTATTATGTTCATTATATTTATTTGTAACAATCATACATACTTATTAGGCTTCTTTTTGTGACACATTCAAATTCTTCTCCTTGGCAATTGTTCTAATGCCAGATGAGGCTGTTTATCAGAGAGTGAAGGTTGTGTTCAGGCCTTCAGAGTTTCTATCTTAACTAATAATTTCAACTTTAAAAATAAGTATTTAATTTGTTTTTTTTTTGACATGATGAATGAAATGAGAGATATGAGATATAGGCTTACTGTGTAAATCTTATAGATTTCTTAAACCCTTTAAAATCAAAAAGGCCTTGTGACCCCCAGTGAAGCTTTGGTGACCCCCAGGTTGGGAACCACTGTTCTAGAGTATGGTCCTAGTTTTCAGTTTCTATTTAATTTTAGGTATTTGTTTTTATTATTTATTTTGTTTTCGCCTTCTTGGATGCTTTGCAATTATGGAAAGAAGCTAAATTTACTCAAGTACTGTACTTAAGTACAATGCTGAGGTACTTCTTTACGCTTTTATTTTTTTCAAGTGAATGCAACACGCTTCCGTAGGGAACCACTGCTCTTTAAAAAGGTCCAAGTCCTGAAAATAGTATAGCAGCCGCAGTTGCAGCCTGTGGCCACTGGGGGGCAGCAGAGCCTCCAATCTCCTCTTGAGACGCTCGACGCACACACTTACGTATGTTACGTTACGTTACGTAAGGAAGGAAGGAAGGAGTAGCCTCTCTCCATGATGGCGGCGACCATAGACAACAGCAATGCCGTGCAGGCGACAAAGAAGAAGCACCTCGGCATTCAGCAGTATCTGGGTGTCTACTGTACAAACACCAGCAGTTCTCAAAGATCTGAATGTCCCACACAAAACAAGTTATCACAGCCTTGAAGCTTTTCCACCTAATGAAATATAAGGTATAAGGTATAGCTCTTGTAAAATGTTTTTTTTTGCACTGCAGTGTAAAAAGATGCATTCAGAGCCTGGACTTTGCGTCAGATAATCAGTTTCTCAGTTTCAGAGTTCTCTAACCAGCCGTGATATTAAAGCTGATGTTCACACATTCAGCCAACCACAATCAGATCTGCTGCTTTAATAATCCAAACAGTAGTATTATTAATTATTTGACTATAAAAAGAAGGCCTATAGACCTAATAGTAATAGACAGAGGAAAATCTGAATCATTCGTGTTATTAATACACATTATATTGATCTCAAACAAAACGGCATGGCTGGAAAATAGGTTTTTGGGTTCATGTTCACCATAATAATACCAAATGCTGAACTTCAATGAATCATCACGTCGGTGCAAAATTATACCTGACATGTTTATGGTTGTATTGTGCTGTTGGCTCTACAGCCACAGGATAGCATTGTGCCTTAAATTTGCAAAGCAGATTTTTAACTTTAGTTAGAAATGACATAGGTGCTGATTTACTTTTTATTAGAGCTTTAACATCAATGATCAGTCAAGGTTATCAGTCTAACAAAAACATTGTAAGAATAACGCCTGGACAAGCATGCTTCAATCAGTGTTTGATTATTTGTTTGAATTAAAGAAGGATTCATTATTTTACTCTTGGCCCTGAAACCTTTTCTGTTTTGCAAAACCTTTGCATCAGTCCAGACAGACCTTTCATGTTTCCATGTGCTTTGCATTCTCATGTAGAAGGAGGGGTTCAGCCAAGAAACATTAAATAAACAGTGCAAATGTGGCTGTATAGGCCGAGATTTACTCATAACAACAAATGCTTATAAGTGGACCGTTCTTTGGACACTGGTGGTTGTACAATGTGTAAACACAACTGTCATCACCTCATAAAGTTGTTAGGCTATATGTTAGCAAACAATCAACTAGTCAGCAGTTATAGAAAATATTATCATTCATTTGGAGTCATGTTTCTGGCTACGTGATGGATGACAATCCAATATTCACTCTCCTTTTAGCTCTGGTTTGGTCTAACTCCTAAGGAAAATAATGTGGCAGCTACTAAATGTTCCACCAAACAGTTAGCTAGTTACTATTTCTAGCTCTTTTTAGTGGGCATGTAGCATGCTGTGTGCTTTGGGAGCCCTTTTCTGTGGTAGTGAGAATGAACCAAAATGTACCAAAACAATGAGCTGAAAGATGCTACAACGCTCTGTAGAGCAGAAGCGAACTGCAAAGTCAGGTGATAATTCTTATGGGTTTGATTAAACATTAAAATCCATTTGGTTAACAGCAGGTCACCTATTTCAGAAATAAAAGCATATTTTTGCATTATCATGTAAATTTCCGGTGGGTTGGTGGCGTAGGGAACATTTTCCAAGAGAAACAGGGCAGGCCACCTGTTTTGAATATATGGGGTGTGTTGCTTTAAAAGGCACAATATAAGAAAGAAGAGAAGACTGCCCCCAAAGAGATCATCTGCGACTCTTCTCCGTCACAGGTGAGTTTTATCATCCTTACAATTACATTATTAATGATGGATTGAATGATGGTCCTTTTTTCCTAAATTTGTCTAGGAGATCTTGCACTTTCTTTAGACATCCTTTTTATTTTCTTATAGAAAACACAGACCATGGAGAGGGGAATGTTTGGCATATTGGTACTCTCAGGTGAGGCAGTGATTAAAGACACTCAAAAAAAGTGCATTTGAGATGAATACTCAAATGAACTGTACACCCTGAAACCTTCACTTTTGCGTTGTCCGCAGCTCTGTGCGAGTTCACATCCTGTCTTCATCATCGTCAGTACCACTTCATCAACGAGTCCAAAACTTGGCCTGAAGCCCAGCAATACTGTAGAGAGAAACACACCGATTTTGCCACTGTCAACGACGAGCACGACCTGGAGGAACTAGCTGGTCTGATTGACTCTGAAGTTCCACATGTATTCTTGGGTTTGTACAGAAGTTGGGGGTGGTCAATGTCAGACGCTGACGACTACAAAGAGGGAGAAGTGGCCTACTGGAAGTGGGCAAATGGTCAACCCAAAACACATTACTGTGGTAGCATAGGATCGACTGGAGACTGGTTTGCTACAGACTGCAATAGCAATTTGAACTTCTTCTGCTACAACGGTAAGAATGATGCACTTTATATTTGATGCACTTTATATTTTTTAATGGTGATAGGATGCTCTGTGGTCTAAATACAGTGTTAATCAACAGTGAAAGCAACTTCACACATCATTGGCAGCTAGTTGAATTTTAAGATGGTGTATAGTCATCAATATTTTCACGTACATCAAATGAATAAAGGGGTTGCTTGCAGTGATAAATTTAAAGACAATGTTTTCTGACTGAGGACCCCCTTGAAAACAGGATAATAAAATAAAATCACCAAACTCCAGTTCTCCTCCACTCTATGGTGAGTTTTTATGTTTTTCTGCTCATTGTTTCGTACTATAGTTGTTGAACAAAGTGGAGCATTTAGCAGCTAAAGAGCAAAACATTTCCTTCAGGAGTAAAACTCTCAAGAACTGCATGATTTACTTCATATAGACACCCTATTTTTTCATTGTTCTGCCTTTTTGTTCTTAAATTCGCAGTTGGATACCAGCCCATATAACATATTTTGGATGAACATTTTGAGCTGATGTTAATAATCTGACAGCATCCCTAAATGAGAATCAAACTCTTACTGAACATTGATTGAACAGCTGATGTCATTTGCAGGGTCCACCACTGATATTTCTCAGAGGTTTACTTTGGGGAATGGCTTCATGAACTGGCTCGATGCTCAGGCTTACTGCAGGAAACTGCACACAGACCTGGCCAGAGTGCGGAACCAGCTTGAAAATGAGCAGCTGCAGAGGATTGTGAACATCAGCCCGGTATGGATTGGGTTGACGGGCATGTCCTGGATATGGTCCGATGGGAGCGAACCCTCATTCACACCCTGGAGACCGATTCGCGGACTCGGTGACTGTAGCGTACTTGTGGCCAACAGCGACGCTCTTGTAATGACAGACCTGAGTTGCGATGAAAAACTGCCCTTTTTTTGCTACAGTGGTAAACACCTTTTCTTGCCACATGATATTTCTCATTATCTTTACCTTTCAATAGTTTTAGTAGTAGTAATTAGTTGCTAGGTATAGTCATAGGTATACTGTAGGTATAGTTTTTGTTACTTTTAAATGTCTGTTTCAGTTCTCTTATTAATGCATGCAGCTGTCAGCTATTATTTTAGTGTTGCTGTGGGCCAATACAAATGTATCAAGTTATTTATACTCCCAACCACCCAGAGGGCAGCAACGAGTAGCATTCCTACCTGTAAGCTACACTTAGGCTGTGTTCAGACTGCAGGCAAAAATGACACAGTACC